TTTTCACATAAAATACAATGTAAGAATGTTTAAATTCTATCATTTTCATGTGTGATACATAGCAGTGAAGAAGACTTTTGTTAATTTGTTAAAAAAAATTTCTGCTCGGAAATCTACTTGTGATACAAAATAAACTTAAAGCTAATTGTCCTCCTCATATCACTTTCATCCTTAAACTTTTCATCCTCGCCAACAACGTCCTCATCACCATCAGCAGTGACATTTTAATCATTCTCAAACACACAATGACCGCAACAAAAGGCAGCTCACAATGAAATCGCATACAAAACGCACGCACGGAGTCGACGTCCTAATCTCTTTTCCCCTTTTTTAGTCTCTACTGGGAAGATGAAAATGCAACCAGGTTGTCAATAATTAAATCAGTGAAAACAAACTACTTTGAGAGAAAAAAAATAATTATGAATTGAAAATTTGAGTCTTGTAAAATTGTTGATAATATTTCAAATATCAATCACGCTGCTATGCAATCACACTTACATATTAATAAGTCAAGTTATTTTTTTTTATTTCCAGTCATTTATTTGGTAAATAAGAAAATCACCAAGAGATCTAAAAAAAAAATAATACATATTAATAAGTCAAGTTATCATATTAACAACTATGTTATTTAATTTGCTTAATATTTCCGTCAAAAAACTTAATTAAATAATTTATTTAGAGTTGCACAATCTTGATATGTTTGTAGCATTTATATTGGTGTAGAACCTTACGATGTGTGGCTGTAGTTATATCACGTCTAAGTAAAAAGAAGTGGCTAATTTTAAAACGAAGATTAAACATTGCGCAGATGTACCACACGAAGTTTACATGAAAGATCAGAAGTATTCGCTAGGTGCCAGAGAAGACGCAAACAGCAGACGATGCTTCAGCGCGAAATTTCAAAAACTGTCGCCAGAGTGGAAGAAGTTCTGCAAGTGCGTGCCGAGGGATGGATTGACACCTACACGCTACTGCAAAGGTAACTGGAATGATGGCGATGATGAAGATGAGGATGAAGATGATGGTGATTGTGAAGATGAAGAATATGATGATTATTGATGATGAAGATGATGACGTTGATGATGATGGAGGTGATGGTGATGATGAAGATGAAGAAGATGACAATGTTGATGATGAAGTTGATGATGAAGATGATGGTGATGATGAAGGTGATGATGAAGATGAGGGTGATGGTGAGGAAGATGAAGATGTTGATGAAAAAGGTGATGACGTTTATGGTCAAGATGATGATGATGATGATGTTTATTATGATATTTTTTACGGTTGTTGTTGTTGATGTTGTTGATGGTAGAGAAAAAGTTGATGACGGTGTTGATGACGATGATAACAAAGAAGTGAAGTGATCATGAATGTGGTAATAGTACTGATGATGACGACGACGACGATGACGATGATGTTATGTTGTTTGTTATACATTTAATGACGTTTAATTAACTGAGATAAATGAATAGAGATTTTTTACTTTGAACATTTTTAAAAAATTTAACAATTACCTAAATAAATTGTATAAACCATACAAAGTAAAATCACCTAAACAAAAAGGTACCCTAAAATTCCATTTAACAATTATTTTTCTTTTCAACGAAACGACATTAATTATTTGTGAATAAAAATTATTTCATTCCCTTCATAACGTGATCATGTCCATCAAACCCTGCTCAAGGTCTGACTTAGTAATTTATTTTTAATGAAACAATTTATAAACATCACAACATTCTCTGATTGTACATACATTTGGATGACCCATATATAAATTCTAACTATTCTAATTATACGATTATATTTAGATGTATTCATACAATTTCGTATAAGATTGTATGAAGAATTTGTAGTCAACGCCGATGACCTTCTTATTTGAAAGAAAACAAATGGAAGTTAGTCAGCTAAGTGAAACATTAGTCAAAAAAAGAAGGTGACAACAAAAAATAATTAAAAATACTTCCTTACATCTTAAAATTTACTCTTGAGAAATTTGTGCAAGATTTCAATGAACATCATGAGGTACGTACATTCTTCATTCGACTGAATACGATTAGATTTTTAAAAAGGTTTTCATTGAATAAGTAATAATAATTGATGATAAAAAAAGTTATATAAGTAAGATTTTAATTTTCCAAAGTGAAAAACTTTAAATTAAAGTGAATGTGGCACTTAAACTTGAAATGCCTTACGTGGGTAATTAATTGTTTTATCGTTAAATGTTTTGATAACGAAAAATATAGACCACATTTTCTGTAACTTTTTACCAAGAAAATATCTTGATGGGAATCATTTTGTAGAAATCTCTGAGCATAAAATTGAAAAACTGAGTGCGTAAACGTTTAGCTTTTCCTTAATTAAATTTAAAAATGTCTCATAATTAGAAACCAAAAATTCAAACTGTGCATCTTGGCACTGTAGCTTACTAAAGTGGATGGTTTGGTATTTGCCTGTTGATGTTTCATATGCTTCTTCAGACGGATTGCTGGGATTCAGATAACTTTTTCCAAAAAAAACAAAGAATAAATTTTGTTCAGTAATGTATAATTTGTTTCAATCCAATATAAAAAATTAAACTCCATAGATAGAGAATAATGATATACTCGTATGGAACGCCCATTGCTAAACCTACTTGACGTGTTTTATTTAATTTCGTATTAATCTCAACTTTTTTATTAGATCAACTCACCAAGGTGTGTGTACAGCATGAATGTATACAAAATATTATGTCAGATTCGTTGGACAAAATTTAGGAAGTTTAATTTTCCACCTACACAAAATGTTTTCCTGCGTTTAGCATTTGGACGAAACACATGTTACAAGTTTAATTTTTCAATAAAGATGAGATAGATATTTCTCGTGGCACACCTACGATTAAAAAATATTAACTATTAAAAAGTTGCTCCAAAATATATTTCGTTATTCAAATAAAAACTTTAAATAATTCTATTGAGGAAATTAAAACGAGCCAAACAGTTTTCATTACGGGATCAAAAACTGATTTTAAAAGCCGAAAAAAATCTAAAAATAAATGTAAAAAATTTTACAGTTTGATTCAAATGAACGAAAAAAATATTTATACTTTAATTAAGATGTCATTAAATATTTTTTTAAAATATACAAAAGCTAACAGACAGACTGAGATTATTTTGAATGGCTTCAGAGAATTTCTTTCAGACTTTCATCATAAAAATTCTTGAAAGTTATTTAACTATTATTTGCTCATGAACAACAAAATTGAATGGAATCACTTGAGCGTAAAGTAGATCTTATTTATTAATTGCAATATCCTGGTTAAGTTAATATATTATGCGCGTATACATGCCATGTAGATTACGCTATATATCAATCAAATCAAAAATCTGAAACAGAAATGGTCAGCCTTCATCAAGTCATTTGGTTGGCTGATCAGCATGAAAGAATTTCTCACAGATTTTGTAAAAGTTAGAAGATTGTTGGTGGTTTCTATTTAGAGCAACGCATTATCTGCCAGTCGTGAAACTTTTGTGATAAAGAAGATCCATGCAACTGTTGAATGGCAACCAACGCATTTGAAGTCTTCTTTTAGGAACACACACCATTCAACTCTCCCCTCCAACCGTTTTAACGCACACTGCCCGACGCCTAGCGTATGTACAAACTCGCATAATCACACACACGCACGCACACACGCACGCACACACGCACATCTACAAACACAAATCCATTGGTACACAGGCGCACTGATAAACAAAGAGACAGACTTATATATTCGTTATTTTCGTACCGCTCATGTCACGATGTGTCTCTGATGTGTGACTGCCAACTGAATGCACAATCATGCAATAAACCATCTCCTCCTTCCAATACCTTCTCTTATACTGAACTTTTCCCAGCAATACAAACGCATACAAACACGCATACAAACATTCATTGAAGTATGCATCTTTTGACACTCACCCACTTCACATAATAACACATGTGCACAAGTTTAAATTCTTCGTATGCATCTGACAGAATATTAGTTCATATGAACTGAGACAAAAAACACACAGACATTCGTGTTCATGACGATGCTGTACAATACAGGTCATCCTGATCATCCATGTTTTTCACACACAAGAGCTCCTTTGAGATACTTTTTTTTAAAAATGGGTGCCATGTTTTAAATTTTCAAATAATAACAATATGAATCATGATAATAATAATAATAAATAGCAACAAGATATAAAAAAGCACGTACACACACACACACACCACGAAGACACACAAAAACACACCACATAGGTATACACACACTGATACACACAGACACAAACACTACACACCACACAGACACGTACACACACACAAACACACATACACAAACAAACAGACACAGACACACACACACACACACACACACAGAGGCAATATGCTCAAGTATGGTAGCAGGGTGACATTTTTATTGCCATATTTATTTATAAGTTGCTGTTATTTCTATCCGGGTGTGTTCGTCTCCTGTTTTAATGTGATTTACATTGTTCACAGCGTTAGGTCTGTCAATTTTTAAGGCATGTGACGACGACCTTGTTTGTGTTGTCGTTAACGTTGCTGTTTGTGATGTTTTTTATGTTCACACGCTGGACGCACTGTTCACGCTGTTCGTGTTGTTCGCTTTGGCTTCCCACACTTTTTTTTCCATTGTTTATGAGGCTCATATTGTTTATGAGTGGCATACATTCTCTCTGGTGAGGATGTTGTTTATAGTCTTCTATCTTCTAATCATTCCTGATGGAGTTATGCTAGGTCTCGTTTGAAATAGTCCTGATGGGTATGATATAATTTTCCTGATGTTCATGATTTGTATACCTATTGTTTAAATAATGTTGAATGGAACATTTTAAACATTTAAAAGGTGGTTATCCCATTGGTTGTATGTATTTAATGAAGTGTTTATGAGGTCAAGATATTTTTTTCTTTGAATGTTTAATAGGTTTAAACTTCCCATTATGTCATATTGTTTATGATCTATCGAATTTTTATGGTTTTTTGATGTTCCGGTTGTTATGCTATCCATGGTGGTTCTGCAATGATGGTTTAGTAGATCTAATTTGTAAAATTTTGGTACTCATAGTCTTACAATGCGGCTGCCAATTCACTTGTGGTTACGCACTGTTACAAGCCTCGTTTTCAAATTTGTTTTTGGTATAACATTTGTATATTAAACACAAATGTTAATGCGAAAACTGTATTTGTGTTGTGCCCATCATAAACGCTTTAATTCATTTGAATAATAGTTACATTCAAATGCAATTTATCAACGAAATATGGGACATTAAAAAAAATAATTCCAGCGGTAAATAAACGAAAAATTCCACCCGCCTACGATAAGTGCTGCCTTAGGCCGTCGCCTACACGGTCTAGGTTTGATACATGCCTACGCCTGATACATGCCTAGGCTGACTATAAGTCATTTGATTTACAGATATTTTGCATTGTTCGCGGTAGGAATTTTTCGTTTGGATTTATTGGTGAAATTTGTTTAAAAAAGTAAAGATGTTTTTTAATAAAAAATCATTATTGTACATTATCTAAATATATCAGGCGAATGGAAAATAGGATATAAGAAATAAATATAAAAGTTAATTACATGGGTTGAAATGTTTGTGATGTGAAATAGTGTTCGTGATGAACGGAAAAACATCAGATCACGTGGTGCCCGGTCCGTCATCGCTTGGCTACATGAAACTTTTTTTATTCTATTTTTCACTTTGAAAATTTTCCAACGTTTGACATTGATTTGTAGTAATATTTGCCAACACAGTCATTCAATTTTCATCTCTTCATTCCATTTCCTTTGGTGTTCTACATCAATTTTTCGTCACGTCGTTCTGTTATTAAATTCAATACTTTTTCCCCTTCCAGCTCTGTCTGATATATTTTATTTGTATCTATCAGTTCAATGGTACAGAGGGAGTTCGTTCATTTCAATCATTGCCGAAATTATGAAAATAGACAGTGACTGCATTGTTTTTGGAATTTGTGGATGCGGGCGCACACACTCACACACACACACACATATATACACCAGACACACGCACACACTCAAGTAAGTGTGTGTGGTGCTTAATTATAAAATTTCAAAACTACAGAAACTATACAGAGCAATCAATAAATTTACTATTCTAAAAAGCAAGTTATTTTCAAACAAGATTATGAGTAATAAACGAAACAAAATTCATTAGCCAGATCAAATGTAGAATCAAAATTTTTTGGCCAGCCACTACCAACCGTCTGCCAACTATTCTGCCTTAATGCATTACTCGGAAGTATCAACAAAAAAATCTTATGAATGGTTGTATGTATAGAAAGTATCGTGTGTGTGATAGCGAGGATTTCTTTGCATTCAAACCCAGTGACATCAACTCTGAACCAGATGCCATTAAGAGTTATAACATCACGCTGTCTATAGGCCTAATATAAATTTTTATTCTTATTCTTATAATGCTAATTTCATTGTCAGAAGTTCACTTTTAAAATTAATTTATCGAATAATTTTACAATAGTTTCTTAAGATTATTTTAAAAGATGTGTTTCTTATAGGATAGTTGGCTGGATTTTCATACAAACAACATGTTTTCAAACATTTTATGACAACAACAAACTCAATTGAAGTTGTCTCATGAAAGTTGCCGCACTACACATGCAGCATACATGCAATATACATACACCACAAGTACACATGCACTACACATACAGTTTACATGTACTTCACATGCGCTGTACACAGGATGCTAATGGAATTACACAAATGTAATTTAGTGTAACGTTTGTTCAAGGTTAATTTCAACCACAACAGGACAGCAAATGTTATTAAGTTACAAATCACTTACATGAAAGAAAAATTGGTGAAGATACACTACCACGCCTTTTAAATTTTATTAAAACCGAAATTTCGCAATTTTAAAATGATAAAATGTTTCCAATATTTTAAATAAATTCTGTTTAAAATCAAACAAAAATTGTATATAATTTAAAAAAAAACATTGCGATTGAATTCAAGAACTACATTCACATTATGATGAAGATGAGACAGAAATTTCAACATTTTAAAAATGATTTATCACAGAACGTTTTATGCCTTTGAACTTTTGGGAATGCAAATTCCGAAAATGAGTCATTTGTTTTTCAATTCGAAAAAGATTCACTGAATCACGTTTAGTGCAAAGATTAATTTTCTTTTTAAAGAAACGCTATTTTGAAAACTAGTCAAACATGTACCATTGTGATATGCAGCTTACGTAATTGTACTTTCCCGCACATCCATGATATTATGCATCCACAATGAAAGAAGCTCACACATACAAACAAACACGCACACACAGAAACACACACAGACACACACACACATACACAGATACACACACGCAGACACACACACAAAAACACACAGTCACTTAAGAACAATGGCAAAATCAATATGCATGGTGTAAATCTTAAAACACTTAGATTGCCTTAGATTTCTGCAGCTGATAGAAG